CCCCCAAGAATTAAATCACAGCCTTCATGTTGCAGCACCCTGAAGGTATATGTGAACAGATGACCTTGCATGTCCCATTCAAACTTTTGTGCCTCTTGAGAACTTACCATCCTTTGTCCATTGGCCACCTTTACCAGGAGTGGTTTTGCTGGTTTGAGTTCACATCCTAATTCTTTTGCAGTAAGTTCTCTAATAAAGCTCAGGGTGCTCCCGGAATCCACCAAAATGTGTAGTTGGCTCCCAGCAGCCTTGCCAGTCAGCCTCATTGTGGTGAGGCCATTTTCTCCTGTGATGGTGTTTAATGACATCTGTACTTCATCCATCCCTAGCCCTTCCTCATGGTCTCCTTCAACTTCTGAATTGGTGTGCAAATAAGCTAGTTCCTCCTCCTCTGTCATTATCATATAGTTAACCCTTTGTTTACATCTGTGGCCATATGTAAACTTCTCATCACAATTGTAGCACAATCCCTTCTCTCTCCTTGCAGCCATTTCACTTGCTGTCAATAGTTTAGTAGGATTTTTTGGCTGATTGGCAGTTGCAGTCCTGCCTTGTGTGTTTGGTTGATTGTCACCCACCTTAAAATTGCTGTAAGCACTGTAAGAAGGCCTGTTTGTCCCCTTGACCTTCTTGGTAATGGCACTGAGAGTCTCCACCTGTTTCCTGCCCAACTCAATTGTGTGTTGTAGGGTATTAGGATTGAACATGGAGATAAAGGCCTGAGACTCTTCAGGTAAGCCACTGATGAAGCTGGCAATAAAATAGTCCTCAGAGTACCCTTTGTTGTTGAGCAACTGCATACAGGCCCTTAATTCCTCGAATTTATCAACATAGTCCCCATAAGTACCTGTTTGTTTGAGTTTGTTAAATTCTGCAATTACCCTAGTTTCTTTTAAATCTTCAAACCTTGCAGAAATTAACTCAAGAAAATGCTCCCATTCTATATTCCCTTGGCTAGCAATTGAATTTTGATACCATAATGCAGCTTTCCCCTCAAAATTCATAGCAGCCAATATCACCTTTTGTGCATCAGGAATGTTGGGTATAAGCTTGAAATACCCATTACATTTAAGAATCCATGATCTAGGCTGAGAACCATCAAACCTTGGGAAATCTACCTTTGGTAAGGGACTGATGACATTAGGTGGTGGATTTTCCCACTGTAGTCTTTGCTTCCCCGGCTGAGAGAACCTAGAACCAGACCCACTTCCCAATATAGATTCCTCTTGTGGTGTTTTCTCAGGGTTTAAGAGTTGCAGCTGAATAGAGGCTAAGATGTTTGCCAAATGGTCATATTTGCTGTTCATCGTGTTATTGAGTTCACCTATTTGCATCTTAACCTCTGAGTTGATATTTGCCACTTGTTCCTGCAGTTTCAATTCTGAGGCTTCTCTTTTCATGGCCTCCATTTGCAGATTCTGATCCATTTTTCTTTGAGTTTCCTGCAGGGTTTGGTCCATTTTTTTCTGGGTTTCCTGCAAATCTTTGAACCTGGTGCCTTCAGCCATATTCCAAGGACCGCAAGCTCTGATACCAAATGTTATGAACTGGGTTTTTGATATCTGATTTTTATGTATTTTTCTGTAATTATTAAAAGCTGTAATTTTAAGAATTTAGAGCTGGATTGGTGAGGAAGAAAAGGAAGAAAATTCAGGGAATGTTGAGGAGGGAAGAGAGAGAAAGTTAAGATGAGAGTGACGTAATTGCCAAAAGCTGGCTAATTCAGATATTGCCTTTCATATTAATACGCATTACATGGGTCTCATAACACTTCCGTAACTGGGCTTTAACCTAACAATTTAGCCCAATACTAATTCTCTTAAAAATAAGATAAATAATAATTGATTTGCACGACCCATCCTGCTAATGAAGGTCCGGCCCAAAAGCCCCTATAACCTTAGCATCTTCTCTCTCATTACACAGATCGGTAAAATTAGGGCACAACCCCTCTTTCTTATCCGTTCCCAAGATCCCGCCTTTGCCACCGTCCATCTCGCCGGAGTTTGCCATCAAATCCCCTCCTTTAGCCATTTCTGTCATAACATATGATTACACAGCACATTATTAGCTACTTATATGCGCATTGTATATATAGATAGATTCTCTAATAGAATATTTTAATCTATAAAGTACCCTTGTTTATTTAGCTATGGTTCGGCCAAAGGTTGTTGGTTAAATCATTTTTGGAAACTTTTGACCAAATGAATAATACCTTTGACATTCTATTTATAGAAAGCTTGAAAACAATAATAGTGTAGTTTTTTTTTTACTCACAATTTGAATTCAAAATTAATGGTGTAGAGATAATATTGGAACAATAATTTGTGGATAACTCATGATGGAATCTGTGGATAACTAACTACTAATCTAAAAAGATTTTGATAAATCTTCACCAAACACTTATTTGATAAATTTGTGGATAACTAAACTATTAATCTAAAAAGATTTTGAAATGGCTAAGCTTATGTATTAATATCGCAACCCTAGGAAAAAAAAAGCATAAGTGAGCCCATTTATTTTTTTATACAAAAATAAAGAGATATTACCAAATATAATTTTTGTTTAATTTGATGGATAAATATCAAATCATTCCAAATTTTAATAATGTACGCGAATATCATTTCAAATATTTAGATAATATCATTCTAACGCTCCAATCATCTAATATCGAGATATTTTTTTTCACCTATTAAATTAACACTTAATTTGCCTTTAAATAACATACACACTCTGAGTTGTTATTGTATCCCCACTCATCAAAAAATCAAGCAAAACATAAAGAACAAATAGATATTCTGTATTGATAAGAAATCATGAGACTCATCAAGCAAAACACCATGAAAACTCTACGCAATCCAACTCTTTTAAAGGATAAATGTATCTTTTTCGAACAAAAAGATATTGAAAAATATTTTTTTTTTATGGGTATGAAAGTCGAATTTTAGGTTGATTTGTTATAAAATCAAGGTAATATGTTTCTCAAAATTTAGCATATTTCTATAATAACTTGCCAAAAAATTCTAATGATAATTTGACAAAATGGTATGTATTCCTCTTGAAAATTATAATCATCTTTGAACAAATATTGGTTAATAAAATTTAAAAATTAACCGACAACAACTCTAGAAAATTGTGAGATAATATGTATATAAAAGAATTTATATATAAGGGAATATATATATAAGGAAATTTATCGTATAGTTCAAATTTGGGTTTCAAATTTAAAAGTCAAATAAATAATTATTCATAACTTACGTGTCAATATTAACTTAGGCATAAATGAAATAGTCAATTAATTATAGTTTAATAAATTACTCAACAACTTAAATTTTTTTATTTTGATAGTTTATATAAAATTAAATTCATTTTAATTAACGGACACTATAAGTTTTATAATTGTACTTATTATTCACATAGATTCTTAAACATATGATAAAATTTTACCAAAAGAATTATTTTATGGAATCACATTGTAGTTCAATTGAATTTTTGAATAAATATTTTAAAATGACACTTATTTTGAAATAAATATAATGTAATTTATTATCAGTTACGTGAACCAGGTTGTATACTAATTAAATTGACATATTTTATGTAATTTTGCACGATATGAAATTTATATAATATTTTTAATAAATTAATATAGGTAAACGTATTACATATTGATTCAATATTTTTAATTTATAAATATTATCTAATAATCATTTTTAATTTATAAATACTAATGAATATCTCTTACCCGTGCATCTCACGGGATTCGTATTAGTTCTAAATAAAGGTGTAATTACAATAAATCCAGATTAATGAAACCTAACCCACATCCTAACAAAACAACGTACCGCAGTCTAGCTAAGTGACGGAACCGAAATCTTGCACTTCTAATGATAAAAAATCGTTATCGATATATGGGCTATAATAATATTTGATTCCATAATCGTGTTGACAATAAGACCACTTAATCGTGACCATTTCCTAGGTTCAGATTGCTCCACTGGACTCTTACAGCCAGGGCCGTCTCCAACATTTTTTGGGCCCAAAGTGAAAAATAAAATTAGGCCCCCCTAATTACAATATTGAATAATATATTTTTAATATTTTATTAATAAAATACAAATATTTAACGATACAACTAAAACAAGATGTCCTCGTACCCACAAAATACAACAAAAACAAGATTAATGTTCTAACATGAATGTCATTTAATATATTATTATATTTTTTATTTATATTATTATATATATATATATATATATATAATATTTTAATATTTATATATGGGGCCCCAATTAATTGGGGGCCCTGTGCAGTTGCTCACCCTGCTCCCCCC